AAAGCAATCTTAATAAAAAGGAATCCTAAATATATATACATTCTAAAATTTCATTCTAAATAATATTCCTAAAAAAAAATTTGGGAAATGTTGAATAAATAGAATAGATTATAAAAGTATTTGTCAAACGCATATTAAATTAAAATTTTAGAGCTACTGAGTTTAAATAAAAAATCTTCAACTATTTTATGGATTACTTTTATTGTAAAAAACAAGGTTCGTTAATTCTATTTAAGCACTATTTTTAAATCAATAACAAGCACTTTAAAAGTTCTAGTAGCTATTTTCAGATATATTAATATTGTAATTTCCATACTAATCATTATTATAATTTACTTTTCAAATTAAAAAGTTTCTTAAAAAACACCATATCTAAACACAAAGTATAGCAAAAGATAACTAAACCTCATTAGTCGTAAATCGAAAATATAATTTCTACTCATTTCTAAAGAATAGATACTTAGCAAAATGTGCTCATAGCTTTCTAACAATAACGAATTATTGAATCATATAATTTAATAGATTTTATTCTAATATTTGATGATTATGTTTATTGTTAAATATCATCAATCTCTCAATAAATTTTTCATTGACGATTATAAGGATCGCTAATTTAATTGATTATTATAGGTCCAAAAAACCACAATTTTCATTTTTATAATCTATATCTCCTCCCCAGCTATTTAACCAAAGATTAAAGCTATTCTCTAAATTTAAATTTAAGTTGCTAATGAATTAAAATTATTAATTCAACACGATCTATAAATAAATAGATTTCCTTCCCAAACTAATTGGATAGAAGAAATTTAGTTTTAAAATATTATCAATTTGAACTAAATCTTAGGGGCAGGGTTGATAAGTTTACAATGTCTGAATTAATTATTAGAGATCAATTAATTTTGATCCTATTTATTCTGAGTAATTTAAAAATATGGGTTGATATCGACATTTTGTATTTATAATTATTATGCACTCTATTTGGCACAGAAAAACTAGTGTAATTGACAATAACTTAAAATCAATGTGTAATTAACTTGCACGAAAAAGGAGCATTAGTAGCAGATGGATAGTATTAAATCTGAAGATAAATATTAAATGGTCAAAATTGTTTATCATATTTGGTAGGTCATAGTTGAAAGAACGCGCGGATTACAGAAAATAAGTAATAAATACAATACACAGATATAAAGATGATAGAAATATAAATTCAGCTTTTAAAATTATTTGAAGCAAGAATCAACCAATACTTTTAGTAATTAGAGTGACTTAATTATAGTTTAGCACTATATAGATATAAGTTGCCAGATTGTGGAACCACTAAGAAATATCGAACATTAATATTGATTCTAACAATAAACTGAGACTAAGTGGTTTTAATGTCCATTGTCAATATGGATCCTATTCAACTATCTTTAGAGCTACTGAGATAATAAATTGCATAAAATTTACGAATTGATAAGTTAGAATAGTGCAAATTAAATAGAAATTACTTTGTAACCTAGAAACAATTATCAAACAATAAAAAGCTTTGACGAGACAATATATCTAGCATAGACTCGATCGAATTAAAATAATTTGAATTGCATTTTTAATTATTTTTGATAGGGAATTATAAGAAATAGAGTTAACAATAGGTGCCATTATTAGTTAAACAGGTTAATAATATCTTGCCAACAAAAAAATATATTGACTAGGTAGAAAAGGAAGGACTTGTTGTTCAGTTTCTCTTAAAATCAATACTTTTTAAAAGTAAACTTGTTCTTTAGAGATATCAACTTAATATGTACTGTTTGGTGTAGGAGTACCCAAAGTTGAAAGTTGTAAATACATGTTGTTCTCATCAAATGCTAATCGTATGATGCATCATTATACACATTAATTAACAGTAGAATGAGTCTGAGAAAGAGAATAAGTATATCACAATTTTAGGTATTATGAAGAAAACAGTATTAAAAACACTAATATCAAATGTTGTATATAAAATTTCTATAAGTGAAGCAAAATCAATACGTATTTGGATCGATTTAGTTTGAAGCAGCCTACAAAATAAGCCAAGGTCAGAGGATTAGGTGACAAGTGTTGCGCAATTGGAATGCTTAATCTTTATATCTTTTTTCTAAGTGCCAGAAGTCATCTCAAGCAATGTTTAAAATAAAAGTAAAGGATAAACTGAATAGTATTTATGAAGACTGGTTTAGAGCAAGGACAATTGCCAGTGTAAGTAAATTTAGAAATTATTTTAGCTCCTCAAATCCAAACATTTCTTCATGTTGATCTCATGAGCATCGCATTGATAATGCTATACAAAGTATCATGAACAGCTACGAAATGGATCAATATATGATCGCATTATGTGCGACTATAAAAAGAATTTAGTCATATGTTTTACTTGAGTGGTGATTTTTTTACATTAATTCCAATAAAAACACTTGTAGATGATGAAATTTCATCTTTGAATTAAATTTTTAGGGCCAAGTGCTAACAAATCAAATATATACTAAATAAAGAATTTTACATAATTAGCATTGATTATGGCTAGTTAAGCAAGTCTTTTGATCATAATATTGGGATCGGAAATACGAAAAAATTAGGTGAATCAGAGAGTGGAATAAAGAGAAAATTTTACCTGGCCCAAACAGTAAATATTTTAATAAATTTAAAAGTATCTCACAAAAGAAACTTCAATTCATTCATTGAGTGCAACTTGAATAAGTATGGTTAAAATAAAGACGATCAAGCTAGTGCAATCTTTTTCATAATTATTGCAACAAGCTATGCACTGAACATCAAGATTAGAAATGTTAGACTTTATTATAAGGTATTTAGTTGGTAACAATTAGCTACAAGATATATGAGTGCCTTAAGTGCATCAAAGAGGCATTTAATAGCAGAATTTGTTTACTAGTCTCATATGAAGTCGAACATTAAGATATAAGCTGTATCAAAGAAATTTATAAGATATTTGAATCACCTAGAAATTATAATATGGACACAATTATAAAACTATTGAACAAGATCCAGTCATAGAAGAAAATTGTGCATGATTAAGCACATTAAGTAAGGGTTAAATTATTTTTATATTGCACATTATAACAGTTGTAGCAATTGCTTATTGAAGATGAAACTGGTTTGATATATGGCATCGCGACCAACTTGATAGCACAAAAAGTGAAGAAACTCAAAATGAATCAAAAGAGTTATGATTCAAGTTACATTCTCTTGTGCAAACTCAACTGTAGCTGCGATTGCCAAACAATAAAAGGAAGAATTAATTGATTATCTTGAACTGTTGCCATTACGTTAGTTTCTAGTATATTTGAGGTTTATAGATAGTATATGGTCAGCAAATTTGCAAAATATCCTGAGTAAAATGTGCAACTTTGACTGTTATTTGCTTCATAAGATCCAACAACATAATCTGTTAAACAAGAAGCAGTACATTATGTAACACAATATGAGTTGAAATCGCCTCATCAATTAAAATACAGTAACTATTTGATTATTCAAGAAAAAGTTGGAACTCTCTAAGCGCTTAGCATATGCTAAATGAAGATTGTTTTGAATAGAAGATGAAATATTATGTTAAAGTCGATGATTTGAGATATAATTTAGATAAGCATATTAATAACTATCTTGCATCTTTATATTTAATGTAAAAGGAAGATGATAAAGTAATTTAAAAACTTGCTTCAAAATGATATTTAAATATTTCAAGATGATGAGTTATTCTCTCAAAACTACGCAACCAATAGAAATATATTAAATATACTCGCAGAATTTTCAAGTATAGAACTTAGAACATGGATGTGTGCATTAATTATAAGACACATCTGTTGATTTTGATAATCGTATTTGCTTATCAAATGGCTAAAAAACTTCTGGAATGCATGGACAATATCTAGAGTATTTTAGATGTACTTAACAACTTTTACAAGGATTCTATAAAATTATTATCATGAAAAAAATATTCACCATAGCTTACTAATATATGGACTTAAAGAAGTGGAGTATTTATGACAGCAAAAAATCAGACACAAAAAGTTTACAAGTGTTACATGCAAGTTAAGTTAGGAGTTACACACTTAGAGGATGGAGAAGATGATTAATAACAGGTAAATGTTAATGCAAAATAGTACTTCTATTTTACAATATGAACAATCATTTGAATATGGTATGCATTATATTCTTCATTTCAATATAATCTAGGAAACAAGAAAAAAATTTAGGCTACATCTTTTACAATATAAATTGCAAGTTGAAGAATAGTAGCTCTCTCGTTTTTCAATTATAAATATGAAAAGAGTAATAATAATGATTTTGATTGCTATGAAATCAAGGTGGACATGTTTTATTAGCGTAATTTATATTGTACAGTTATATGCAACAATTTATAATTAATATACTTTCTTTATCTTTGTATAATAATCCTTAAACTTACAAATTTATTAATCGCACTTGAAATATTGTCTTACCATACAATCTAGTTCTGCCAAAGTTAAATCTTCACATGAAGAATAGACGCATTTGTAAATCTGAGAACTTTAATCACAAAGCAAAGCATTTTGAATGTGCATCATCTAATACGATTTCCTGAGAACATTTGAATATATAGGCAAGGATGAGCAATATTTAAGTTGAAATGAACATTTAAATTAAGAAGTAACAACTTCATAATAGCTAGTACTCCAAGAAGAATTGGTGCACCACATATACATGACAATAACTGGATGCACAAGATAAGCAAGAGTCAGAGCTGCACAAAATTAGGATCTATATGAACATTATATGGATGAAGGAGATGAGAAATAGTAGATTGAAACAAAACTGATAATTGGCGCTACATCTTATAATATTTTCAATTCAAATGCTCCATTAACTTAAAATACAGATTAGCAAAAAGAATAATTAACCGATACGGTGTCAACACATCTCCTAAACGAATTTGATCAATTTGTTCTATACTGGTTCATGAGCTCGTAGTATTTGGTCTTTTACAATAAGTATTATATTTTTTACCAACAAGGAGTGAAGGAAGGAGTTCTGGTTCAAAAATTAACATCGAAAAGCAAGCTCCCAGAGTTAATCTAGTAGTTTATCAAAAATTGTAATCCAGTTTTTAAGAATGGTATTAATAATAAGGCAGAAGTTGGGTAATATCCAGAATAGCATAGGCAGAAATGATTATCACATGATAACAAGAGCATATCAAAAGCTGCATATTGTCCAAGTATTAAGTATTGGCAGCAGTACATTTTTGTTCACTTTTTAGCGCATTTTGTAGTAGTACCAGATAATAGCTATAAAGAATAATATCAATTTGTATATCAATTATAATTAGTATCCCAAGTTTCACAAGTAGTTTTAAAACATTAACAAAGATTTCTACCTATAAAAATACAACACCAAAAAAATGCAAGAGGAAGCAGATTAGTTTTCAAGTTTAACAATGTTACTCCTATATATAACAACAATATTGGTAATTAGCCATCCCATTTGAAGAATAATTATAATCGTGCAAATTGAAACCATAAAAAAAAATCAATTTATCAAAATAACAATTTAAAATTTTGGTTCTGGTTTACACTTCTAATTATACATTTGTCTATATAATTTTTTTCAGCTATGTTTATCATTTAAAATCGTAATTTTTCATCATCCTTTTCAAATCTTTAAACTTAAGATTCTTATTAGTAACTTTTACAAATTACAATCATTTAATCAATTATTTGCATTAATTTATAATTTATTTATTTATTTTCTATCTATTTGGCGGAAAGGAAATTTAAAGTTTACACTGAGATACAATGATTAATTAAATTCCTTTAACTTAAAAAGTGATATTTTCAGTAAAAAGGAAATTCATAAAAACCTAGAATATGCTTTTACTTTAAATTATATAAATATTTCCCTATTATTAAATTGGTTTATTGGTGAACAATGCTTTGACAAATGATTGTAATAAAAAAAATAGTTTTATAAATAATTAATAAATTATAAAGTAAATCTTTTTTAAATATCGATTTTATTTCATCAATTTATGATATAATACTATGGAAGCATTTGAGAATGCGATAAATCCTTTTGCTAATTTTAATTAAATGATACTTAAATTAAGAGGCTACCTCTTAGCTAATATAAGATGTGGATTATAACCATTTAGGGTTTTATTCATATCTTAAATATTTTTATTTATTACAACTATATTTTTAATACTGGCAGACGCATCAA